AATAACAATAATAATAATAATACTGTTACATCTCCTGCTAATACTACTACTGCTATTACTACTACTAACTACTACTACTAACTACTACTACCACTACTACCACCACTACTACTACTACTACTACTACTCCTACTACTACTACTACTATAACTACTACTACTACTACCACTACTACTACTACTACTAATACTACTACTACTACTACTACTACTACTACTACTACTACTACTACTACTACTACTACTACTACTACTACTACTATAACTACTACTACTACTACTACCACTACTACTACTACTACTAATAATAATAATAATAATAATAATAACAATAACAATAATAATAATAATAATAGCAAAAGTTTTCAAAATAAACTAGCAATGTTCGTTTGGCCGTCTAGACGAGGTTCCCTCCACTTGGCCTGCAGGAAAACTTCGACGTAGAAGTTCTCCTTCGTCGTGTTTATCTCTCCAACTTTTGTAAAGACCGCTTTCATGTACACAAAAACCTTTTTGGGATTTGTATTTCGGGTATTTTTAACTTTTTTGGATTTGTATTTCAGGTATTTTAAAATTAAATTGTCAATTTTCGTGATAGCATAGGCATTGACATCAAAACATTCTTTCAAAATAAAAAATCTAGTAAAGATATCATCTGGAAGAAAAAGGACGATTATTGTTACATTATGATAAAAAATAGTTAAGTTGCTAGGTATTTTAAACGCCTGGTATTGCTATTGCAGGGGTTCGACTGCAAACAAATCTCTGTCCACCACGTTTGTACTGTCGATACATCTGATGACGACAAAACTTAAAAATAAAATTACAACAATGGCGACGGCCATTACAAACTTTTTCGTCCCTATGAGAAACGATAGGATCATTCCTGTCAACGATCAGTGGCTGCTCTACGATGGCGTTTATGATGTCTTCCCAGCGCTTTTGTGGCTTCAACAAGCCGTCAGTGGTGTCGATTGTGTTGCGTTTCCAACGCATAACTGCTCGTTTTGCTGCCAGCGATTTGGACATCTTGTCGTGGCTGTAGTAGCAGTAGCTTCTGTCCTGGCGTCTGAGGTATAGATGGTGCTGTTACTTGGCCGCTGTGATGAAGATGCTGTTAAATTTCGTTTTTATTGTTGTTTTCTTCCGAACCGAAATATTGATACTACAAAATAAACGACTGATACTATCTTTATTTCTGAAGCTAAGGCGGTACTACAACTACTGTACTACTTACGACTACTGCGACTGCTACTACTGCTGCTGTTGCTGATACTATTACTACTACAAGTACAACAACAGTTTAACTTAAAATCGCAACAGTTTACACTACAGCGTTTGTTTGTATATGAATGTGTGTTTTTTGGTAACGTATTTATGAATGGTTTATGTGTGTATGTTTTTGTATGTACGTATGTATGTGTTGTTTACGCTCGCATACAAAATACAAAAATGTAGTCATACATGTTGGTATTTGTTGTTGCTGTTGCAACAAAATGACAGACGGCATTGTTATAAAATTGACAAAAAAATATAGTTGTATATAAAAGTTTTGCATTTTTTAGTTGCTGTACGTACGTTAACATTTAGAATACTATTTAAAAAATTATATGTATATATACATGTATATGTAGCTAAATTATATATATATAAAAGCATATGTGTGTGTGTATGTATATGTGTATAAAAATTTATATAAAAATTTTTTTTGTTAAACCTGTTTCAATCATTGAATGCAATGTAGGTATGCTAGCACTCCTAGATATATATCAATAAAATTATATAATTGGATAGATAGATAGAAATGATAGATCGATTGATGGATTGGTAGATAAGTTTAATGAGTTTTACTTACTCTAATAGTATTAATGAATGGTTATTATTTCTTGCTCTTATAAGTCCTCCATTAATTTCACCGTATCTTAGATTGTGACATTCTAACCTCTTAACTTCGTCAACTTCAAATAATTCCATAAAAAATTTATCTTTCAAATGGCATCACTGACAACAACAACGACAACTATAACGTCATGAACAACTACAACGAAGGCAACAACAACAGCAACGATGAAATCATCAACTACAGCAACAACATTCCAACAATTGCAATTGAAACAGCCTTCAAAAATTTGGATGCAGTGAGAGAAGATAATGACGTCAACAACTCCAACAGCAATCCCAATGACAACAACAACAATAACATCTTAGAAGATCGCCCGATTTTTTTCACGCCGAACCACCGGGCTGCCAAACTTACCCCAGGACAAAATTTCGATAAGGGGGTGGACTACCTAGGTGCACCCGCCGTGAAAGGAATCGTAGAAAAAAAGAACGAAAATGATAAAGTTAGTTTTTTTTATTGTTCTCTTTTTTTAAACGCAGGACAGCCTTCAAATCACAACCAATTTATAAAATTTGAGATTAAATTAGAAAAGATTTTTTTTTAATCCATTTTATTCACAAAAAAGTGAAAGAGTCAGTCTAGCAATAAATGCTTATCTAGGGTAGACTCTCTAGATTCCATGAATTAGATATTTTTGAATTTTATTTTCGCATCCATGCCAGACGGACGTATACATACGAGTGGTTCTATCGAAGGTAACTGAGATAGATGTGATAGAGTCGAGTTTCAGTGCCGAGTTTTACGTGCAATCCAGGTGGAGGGAGGCGAAACTTGACCAACAGAACAAGATTGTTTGTTGAGAACCTTTTATATTTAATTAATTATCGTTAAGCAGTTTTGCTATTTTTAATGTTTAGTTTGATTGAAAGATCTTTCAAACAACACAAGAACCACGATCCAACTGCAAACAAACAGGATACTCAACATACACACACATACCACAACACATACACGCCAAAACACACACACACCACATCACAACACACACACCACAATAGAACAAGACTGCAATCAAGTGGGACGACTTCTGGAATCCACGCCTCCAAATCGAGAACGTTGATGGGGCCATTACCGGCAAAAAAAGAAAAACTATCGAGGCCCTGAAACGAGGGAAAAATTGGAAAAATTTCGAAGATCCGATCAAGGAAAAGCAATGGAAGACTGTCGAGTTCAGCGGCGAAAACGAGGCTTTCATATACGAAAGACGCAAAATAAAAGGCAGATTTCAGGCCGATATGAAACTCAAATACTTCCCATTCGATATGCAGAAAATATTTCTAACAGTTGGATCGGAAAGATCAGAGGATGAGGTTAGGTTGTTGGCGGATTGCTCGCACAAAATGCCTCCATTTGCTGTTGGTTGCTCACCTGACGCAGTATATTGGAGGTTCAAGGAGAAGAGGAGAAGGAATAGATACCTAAGGTGGTTGTACAGAGATGATTACGACTGCGAGTATGATTTCTACAGCAACAACAATGACAACAACACGGTTAATGTGAATAAAGTTTATAGCAATGATGACGTCGATGAATTTGACGACGACGATGATGATGAGTTTTCAAAAGCAGAAAAAGCTTCAGCAGGACCACTAGCGACAGCAAAAACCGATTCTGATAACAAAACCGAATTAGAATATTTGAAAATTAGAGTTGATATCGAAGAGGACGAGTCGCAGAAGTCCCTCGCGTTCGTGTGCTACCTAGAGAGGAAACCGAATTTCTTTCTTTACAACATCTTTCTCGTCCTGGTTAGGGTTTTAAAAAAAAAATAATTTAATTACTTTTTTTTATTTTTTTTCGGATAGGTAATAATTTAAATACTTGTTTTCTTTTTTAATCCATCTCTCTCTCTCTCACTCTCTCTTTTTCTCTTTCTTTCTAAATCAACCAATGATAACCATTCTACCCACAACCCGTCTCTCTTTTATCCTTCGCCTCTCTCTCTCTCTCTCTCTCTTTCTCTCTCTCTAAATCGTCATCATCTCACGAAAAACAGTTCTCTCTAACGTGCATATCGTTCTGCACGTACTCCGTGCCAATGGAAAAACCGCAGGGGAGACTGATACCTGCCTTCACGCTACTGCTAACAACTGTCTCCATGAGGAACACACTCAGCGCTAGCATGCCGAAGATCTCGTATTTGACGGCACTCGTCTGTGAAGTTTTGTTGGGTTTTTTGGAAGTAGTAAAATTGTGAATGGACGGTTGGATGGATGAACGAATGAATGAATGAATGAGTGAATGAATGAATGAGTGAATGAATAATAGATGAACGAACGAATAAATAAATATATGAATAATATTAACCCTTTATTTCAGGATAAATACCTTTTGTTCAGCTTTCTGACGCAAAGTGCAGTCTGCATATGGCATGCCATAGCTATCACCCTTCCATCTGCTAACTGTCATAATAGTATAAATAATAATACAAATAATAATAATAGAGGTGGTGCTGGTAGTAGTTGCGTTGTAGGGTTTAAAGGTGAATCTATCGACAGACTGATGTTCGGATTGCTGATGGGCATTTATCTAACGTTTAATCTTATATTCGCAGTCGAGATCAAGTTTAATGTTAGTGTCTCTGTGTGTGTGTTTGCGTGTGTGTGTGTGCGTGCGTGTGGTGATTGTGCGTGCGTGTATTTTGTCTTCATTTTTCAGATTTTTTCGGCACTAATAAAGTGGATCAGAGAAGAAATATTTGATGATTATGGCGATGGCGAAGAGGGAGCTGATGATAATCTAGATGATAGCTTCTACGTGAGTGAACATTCGTTCTTTCGTTTTTCATTCATTAATTCATTCACTCGTTCATTCATTCATGAATTCGTTCGTTCATTCATTCATTCGTTTCATACTTCCTCATTCACTTCATCACTTACGTTTATAGGCATTCATTCATCCATCTATCCATTCGTTCGTTCATTCATTCATCCATCCATTCGTTCATTCCTTCATCATTCGCGCATTCATTCATTCACTAACTCATTCATTCATTCACTCATTCATTAACCTTCTAAACAGAATGACTACCTGATTCATAATCTTCAAAGCCAAAATGTTGATCAAGACAACGACAAAAATGCTAATGATAATAATAATAATTACGATGTTAATAATAATAATAATTATTATGACAATAATAACAATAATTATAAAGATAATAATTTTGAAAACCTAAATTATGCAAATAATTATAACGTTAATAATTATAACAACAATAACAATATCGACTACACTAGCAATAATTATATTAGTAATAATAATAGTTATAATAATTATAATATTAATAATTATTAAAATAACAATACTAATTATAATCTTGACCTGGGAGCTGGCTTATAATTAACTAAAATAATTATTCTTCTAAACCTTTTTTTATCGTTTAATTGTATAAATTAATTGTTTTGCTACTAACACACACAGACACACACACACCACTCACACACACCACATACACACACATACACACACATATATAGTTTGTATTGTGAATAGATATTTATAACACTTAAAATATTTTATTATTCCTCAATCGAGTTTCAATTTTATGAGAGTGATTCATAAAGCCTTTGACTAGCCATCATCACAATCTATAAGACAAACAGACAGATGAATGAATGATTGAATGAATGAACGAACGAACGAACGAATGAATGAATGAACGAAAGACAAACGAACAAACAAACGAATCGACGAACAAATGAATGAAAGATTAAAATAACAAACGCAGAAATGAATAAATAAATAGGATCGAACGACCAAACAAATGAATGAATGAGCATGGATGAACAGACAGATACTTCAAACAGATACATATCATGATACTTCAACTCAGTTTTAACCGGTATCGACAGGGTATTTACCGATTTTAATCGGTATTAAATTGTATTCGTTGTCTTGTATCTATGTGGTATCCCAGGACGCTGGGCTCAATAGATAAAAGTTATCAATAATAATAATAATAATAAAAATAATAATATAATAATAATATCAACAATAATAATAATGATAGTAATGACGATGATAATTTTATTTACATATACTTGTATAAAGGCATGTTAAACCTTACATGCAGTTTCAATATTTTTAAATAGTATCATATTAAGTTATTAGGCTGAAATTATTATAGTTAATGTTATTATCATTGTTGCTATCGTTGCTGTTATTAATGTTGTTGTTTATTTTTATCAGCAAGCAAAGTAGTAGTAAAAAATTAGCAATCTAAAGCGAAGAGAGTGTCTATCCTTTATGATGATGGTGATGGAGCTTAAAAATTATGACGTGAATAATGATGATAATTGTGGCGGAACTTTTAAAAAATCATTGGCATCATTATCATTACCAACGTCATCAACGACGTCATCAACATCAACATCAACATCATCAACATCAACAACATCATCAACAACAGCAACAACATTAACATCAGCAACAACAACGTCATCATCATCATCGTCTTCGTCGTCATCACCACCCAAACCATCATCATACGATTATCATGATCATCTTGGTAATGATCCCAGCAACAATAACGACGACGACGACGACGATGATGATGATGAAGGCAACGGTGATGATGATGATGATACGATAGAAACTGAAAACTTGGAAAAGGAGTTTAAAAAGGTACAGAGACGGATCTACAAGATTATCCTACCTGACGATAAGTTCCGTAGTATTGTTACTACCCTCAACACTTTAACTACTGATAATGATGCTTATAATAATAATTATAATTACAATAATAATTACAGTAATTATAGTTATAATAATAATTATTATAATAGCAACAACAAAAATGTTACCATTTGTGTCAACAAAAACAACAGCGGTTACAACATTAACCGTAACAGTAAAAACATTCTAAATACTCCTACTACTACTACTACTACTACTACTACTACTACTACTACTACTACTACTACTACTACTACAAATAATAATAACAATGCTACTATTGTTGCTGCGACTATTACTACTACCATTACTGCTAATGCAGCTGCTGCCAATACTACTGCAGTTAGTAATGATGCTAATGATACTTCTACTACTACTACTACTAATAATAATAATAATAATAATAATACCACTACTACTAAATTGACCATGGATCCGTGCAGACAAATAATGACCATTGAAAAAAATAAACTGCATAAGAATCATCACGCCATGCAGAGTGAAACGAGAGCTGAAGTTGACAAATTAACAAAAATTCTCCTTGAAAAAGTATTTTTATTCATTATAAACTCCATTACATCTGTAATTATTATCTACTAACCAATCAATCAACAAACAAACAAACCAGCAAATCAGAATTTATTGATCAGCTGCTCAACCAATCAAGCAGCAAACAAACCAACCAATCAGAATTTATCGATCAGCCAATAAACCAACCAATCAGAATTTATCGATCAGTCAATCAACCAATCAATCACAAAACAAACCAACCAATTAGAACTTAGCTATCAGCATGATGGCGTCGTCGAGCGCGGAAGAGAAAAGCAAACTTCTGGAGAGGGTAACAAATGAACATCAGTCTGAATTGTCCAACGTAAAAATGATGAAGGATAGAGAGATCGTCGAATTGAACGAAAAAATGAAAGTGAGTGAGCTAGAGATTGAGTGGAAGAGAGAAAGAATGAATGAATGAATAAACAAATAGACGAAAGAAAGAGTGGAGTGAATGTGCGATTGATCTTCTGAAGATTTTAAAACCATTTTGAACTCCATTGTCAATCAACCTAAAATTGAAATTACTATCATTAACTAGAGGATGGCGATTGCTAGAACGACAACCACTACTACAACTGCCACTACTACTACTACTACTACTACTACTACTACTATATATAATAATAATATTAACATTATTATCCGGTAAGAACATTAATAACATTTTTTATTAAAATTACATAAATCAGATACAGGAACATAGAATAAATAGACTAGAATCTCTTATCAAGGATATTAAATCATCTCTTTTATATCTATGCCGGAAATGCGACAAAGATGATGACGACTACATGAGTAATGGTAATGATTTGGAAGACGATGTTGATGACGATGGTTCAAATTCTATAAATGGATTGATGGTAATAACAATATAACGATGCTGACAATAGTAATAATAATTGTAACTACTACTACTTCTACCACTACTACTACTACTTCTTCCTCTTCTACTACTACTACTTCTACCACCACTACTACTTCTAAAAAATGTAATGAAATGAATATTTGAATGAATAAATAAATTAATTAATTAAAGACACGTTTGGATGATACTTTGGAAAGACGGAAGTATCAGATGGCAAGGATGAGAAAGTTGTTGGAAGAAAAGGACCAACACATCAACAATATGTCAATCAACAAGGTAAATCAATCAGCCAATCAACCAGCCAACCAACCAACCAACCAAACCAACCAACAAACCAACCCACAAGCAAACCAACCAACAAACCAACCAAACAACTAGATCATAGAAATTACAGACCTGAAAGCAACTCTGAGAACTGAGAAATTGAACGCCTTGGAACAATTAAAAAACGTCCTACTCAACTTATAAGGTACTGGCAGTAGAAGCAAATGTATTTAGCAAGGTCATGGAAACGCTACAATATAACTAGCCACAGTTTAAACGTTGATTTGAACTCCTAAATGTACTACCTACTTTAGTTACTACAACCATAATAATATTACTTGTACAGAGAGGAGGTAATGTTAATAAGCATGGATCTATGTTCTATTTTTTCTAACTTCAATAAAAAATACAAAAAGAACCAAAGAGATATTTATTAATTAAAACTTAAAAAATTTTCTATATACATACATACATATATATATATATATATATATATATATATATATATAGAACAGAAATAAAATCATAAACAAAATTTTTTTAAAACAATCTTCAAACGTTTATCATTATTCATATATATATATATAATATATCCCATAGATAGCATACACAGAATAAGTATTTATTAGTACTATTTCACAATTTACATGTATTACAAATTCTATTCAAATTATATATATAAATATGGGCTGGATCATATAAATAGAATATAGTATATTATATATATTATATTTTATTATAAATATCTATATTCTACCTATATGGGCTAGAAGGAGTCTCCTTCCATCCTTTACAGAATTATCTACGGCTCAACTTAATTCCCAAGCTGGGAATGTCAGCAACGAATGTTGAAACTTTCCCACGAGTTAGAAGCCAAAAACAAAGGTCATATATATATATATATATACACATATATATATATATATATATATATACATATATATATATATATATAAGATAATATATTAATATTGATAGATTATTTAGAATTAATAAGTATTAAACGCAGTAATAATAATGGGAATAATAAGCAAGCTACGCCCACACAAAACAAACAAACATATATGTATGTATATAATATATATATGTATACACACACATATATATATATACACGACCATATATATATATATATATATATATATATATATATATATATATATATATAATAATAGAAAAATTTTAATAAAACAATAAAATAACGCGAGGGGTATATATTATACATTAACATCTCTTTAAAAGTAGTAATAATGGGTTGAAAAGTCAAAAACGTAACCAATAAGTGAAGGGGAAAAAACTAAAAATAACCAATCTGGTTTTTTCAAATTATGAAATTTACATCACTCGCCTATACGGACATACATACATACGTACAAACAAACAAACACATATACACACAAATACATAATACATACGCACACATAAGTTTATGCTTAACATAAACATGTTCGAACAACACATATAGCGAAAACAATAACATAACGAAAAAAATCTTTAATGAGAAGAAAATTATTTGAAGAGAAAAAATTTTAATTCAAAGAAGAAACGCTCATATATCATAACAAGCATGATTCCTTACACCGCTCTCACATAATTAACATTGCAGATTTTTATATAATATTTTTATAATTGCGTGCATGTGTGTGTGTGTGTAAGTATATATCCGTGTGTGTGTGGCTTTTAAGTGTGAAAGTTTAAGCTATAAACTTTAAAAGTATAATCACAAGCAAACAAACTGATGAATGGATAAAAAAAATGATTGATTGATTGAGAGGAAAGAAGTAAATTCCAAATGATAATTTGTGATAAAGTAACATTTTCTATCGGATATATATATATATATATATATATATATATATATATATATACACATATATATACACATATATATACTGGATTAAGACTGTCAGAAATGCAATTAATGATAAAAATCACCGCATGTTCCGCGTTTGTAAGCTTGCTGCTAAATTTGTCGATTTTTCCAACGGTAGATCGTAAATCATTGTTAAGATTTATTTACTATTTTATTTGTTTTAAGCATGATAGGACATTTAAGCATGGAAGAACAGAAAAGCTTTTTTCAGTATTCCTATACCATCTTCGCTGTTCGAATTGGTATGTTGTGTGTGTGTGTCTGGTATCAAAGTATATATATATATTCTTAAGCAATTATATATACAGTGCAATGACGAACAACACACTTGAGCAAGAAGGCGATCGACAGAATGTTACGATATCTTCAACGTCATCTTGACCGCAGAAAACATAGCATCGTCAATCTTCATCAATGTTCTTCTAATTATTATTAGAACAATATACACAAGATGAATTTTTTTTCAACAGCCACACAAATCTACACACACACACACACATCTACACACACACATTAATATATATTACTTTTATTGGAACATTGATACACCCCATATCATACAGCATGTCTTTTCTTTTCTTCACCAGTGTAAACTGACACACCGAGATTAACTAAGTTCAAAGAATAGCTCTCTACTAGAAATATGTAAATGGACAGAAAAATAAATTAATTAACAAGCACACAATCAATCTATCTCGCTAATCATCTTAATGAGAAATAAATAATTTTTAATTGTACTTAATTATGTTGAAAATAAATAAAATAATTACTACCACCATTGCTAACTAATCAACTAATAATAATAATAATAATAATAATGTTGACTGACCTAAGCAGTAGTAGTTAATGTAGTAGTAGTAGTAAACTTCTTAACAATACTTTCACATATATATTCACATACTATAAATGTATATATATGTGCTATATATATATATGTATATATATATATATATATATATACTTATATACACTAATATACCAATATAGATATATCATCTCTAAGGTTGTTTTATATATAAATATATAATTATCATCTTATTATTAATTGCTGATAACACAATCTAATTATCATCGTCTATAAGAACTATCATTATTATATAAACAGATAGAAAGAATGGATGAATGAATGAAAAAATGAACGAATGAATAAATGAAAAAATGAATGAATGAATGAATGAATGAATGAACGAATGAATCAACATAGAAGGCACTATTCAACACTCCTCCTATATATCAATACAATAATAATAATAATAATAAAAAGCAACTACAAATAACCAAGAAATCCCTATAGATACACACACATACGTACAGAAATATTATGGTTATAATGCGTTATATTAAGAACATTGAAATATTTACACATAAATATTTACATATGGATACATGTACATGCACTAGCAATGATACACACACACACACACACACACACACACACACACACACACACACACACACACACACACACACACATATATATATATATAAACAGAAAGCAAGAAATGAATGGATGAAAATGAAATGTCCACATATATACACACAGCAATAATAATAATAATAGTAATGAGAACATCCTTCTATTTTCTAACTCCAAATACCAAATATCAATAATGAAATAATAATAATAATCTTAGTTAAACATAATATTAATATTTTTAGCTATTACTATTACTAATTGAAAAATAATAACCATCACGTGAGAAAGCCGTCATCATCAGCAGCAGCAACAAGATGATGATGGCAAATTAACGTACAGTGATAATAAAAATAATAATAATTTGTCATACGCACATAATTAACTGAGTAATTAACTGAGTAATCACATCGTCGTCGTCATCATCATCGTCATCATTAACATCATCTACATCACTCACAAACAATATAATCATTAACATCACTAAACTTACGAAATGCATAACATGTAAACGCCTTCAGGACAACTTATATCATAGCAGCAAACCAGAGTGCACGCAGGCAGAACTCAGTAAACACTTAGATTTACAAGTTGGGAGAGAAAGATAGATAGATGATGGAGAGAGAGAGAGAGAGAGAGAGAGAGAGAGAGAGAGAGAGAGAGAGAGATGATTGAGAAAGAAAGAACAAGTAAACAATATTAAACTTTCAATTTCATATTAGATTGTGCCTGATACAGGTTCGAATGACAGATAACACAGATATATTGATCACCATCATCTTCATCTCCTACTGTCCTCCTTTCCTTCACCATCACTGCTTACTCTTCCTCTTCTTCTTCTTCCTCTTCCCCCTCCTCCTCATCATCATCCCCATCATTTTCGACAATCAGTGTAGTGAGGCCTGGATATTTCAAAGAAACAAATTCATTATCATTACCGTAGTCGTTATTGTTACATAATACCTCAGGCCTAGATCAGATTCATTCATCAAAAACATCACTGTATTCATCACACAATCACCAACGTCATCGCCATCATCAAAATGTGTTTCATAAATATTCATCGATCTAAAAATAAACCATAGACGCTTAAAGGGAAAAGCCCCCACAACCAAAATAAGAGAGGTATAAAAAAATCCCTAAACCTTGAGTAGTTGCAGCAACTTCATCATCTTCCTCCTCCTCATCATCATTTGCATCTCTTCTATCAGCAGCAGCAGCAGCGGTAGCAGCAGTAGGGTAGTCACCCACGAGTGCTAAATTATCGATTTCACTCTTTTCATCATATCCAGTTTCTTTATCAAAGTTATCAGCTCCATCGTCTTCCTCCTCCACTAAGCAGTCGAACATTCTCTTTCCTGGAACAAACTCAGGAACTTCGACCTTTAGGGTGCTGAATGATTGGGGGTCCACGCCGGCCAGAGACCATTTTTGTGGGTTTTCCCGGGCCCTAATTTTA